TAGGGTGCACCAATATGACCTCATTTTACCTTAATTCCCACTTTAAAGGCCCCATTTCCAAATATGGTCACATTCTGAAGTACTGGGGTTAGGCCTGCAGCATATAAATTTGGAGAGAAATACAATTTGACCCACCACAAGGACATTCCCACTTTTTCTTTTTATAATAGCCTCGAGAAAGCAGCCAGGACACACATTCTGCAAGCCCATTCATTCATTCAACAAATATTTACTGAGTACTTACTAAGTGCTAACGCTGAAGATTTAACAATGAAGAGGACAGTCAGCTTCCTGCTCTTGTGGAAATTAGGTTCTAGTGGGAGAGACAGACAAAACATAATAACAAATAAACAATCACGGACTGTGAGAAGCACAAGTAAGATAATATAAATAGTGCTGTGGCGGAAAATCAAGTGAGTGAGATTTTTGGTAGGGCCATCAGGGAGGGCCTCTCTGAGGAGGTGACAAACAGCTGATTTAAACATTGAAAAAGATTCCTTAATGCAAAGAGCTTGGGAGAGGAAATCGCTCAGCAGAGGAAATAGCAAATGCAAAGGCCCAGAGATGGGAAAGAGCTCAATATGGGAAAGAGTCTCGACAGTGAGCAAATGCCAGGATAGTTGGGGTATCAAGTATAATGTGGATCATGGAGTGAGATGGCAGGAGCAGGATCAGGTGGAGGCCTCCTCTGCCTTAGTTAAGGAGTTGAGAATTTTTTGAGTGCAAAGGGAAGTCACAGAAAGGTTGATGAGGGTGGCGTGATCTGTTCTGCAGTGTGGGGGATGGATTGGCAGAAGGAAAGAGTGGGAGATGGGGAAACTGAGTCCTACAGGCACTCACATACCGGCTGTCATTGACACAAGTTCCAAGTGGCAGGACTGGGCAGGTACTTGCATTACAGTACTATAAAGGTGGAGCAGGGCGCCCTCTGCTGTTCCATGTAATTCTTAACCCACGTTGATGGCAAATCTAGGAAATTAGGGAAGAAAACTTCCCAACTCTTAATTATGGAATATACAGGAATTCGCTAATCACATTTTCAAAATACATACCAAAATTTTGAGGCAAAGAGAAGGGGGCATGAGGAAGCTCCCAAATAACATGTTGACTGTTCTTAGGAAAAGCTGGGTTGAAGATGAAATAGACTGGCCTTTTTATTTTTAAGAGTAATTAATCATTTTAATTACTCTTGCTGTTTTCTAAAGAAGCATACACACTCATTATAAAAAAAATCAGACAATACACCAACAAAAAAGCAACACGTTACTCCATATTTTACCATTCAGAAGTAACAAGTGTATCCAATGAATATTACTTTAGAATCTTTCTGTGCCTGTGTATGTATACACATACACTGGAAAAAGATGTCGTCAGTAGAGATCCCTCTAAAGTTAAAAACATTACTACAGCAATTTTAAAAAAAAGACTCATTATTTTAGACACACATTTCAATTTTACATGTTAGAGATTGTGTCAGTGTTGTGAAACAGTGTCATAAAACATTTATAACTCATTGCTTTGCTTTGCAATTTTTCTTAGCTCTGCAATGTCTTCTTCCATCTTCTTTATTTTATAATTTATCTTAGAGGCTTTGTTTTACGGAAATCATATTCTTAATGAACTCTTCCCTGTTGGCAAATGTTTTCTGCACAGGGTCAGGTAGTATATATTTTAGTCTTTGTAGGCTAAAAGAACTTGGTCACAACTGCACAGCTCTGCTATTACAGCGTGAAAGCAGCCAGAGAAAATATGTAAAGGAATGAATGTGGTTGCGTTTCAATAAATGTTTACTTACAAAAACAGGAAGTGGGCCACATTTGGCCCACAGGTTGTAGTTTGCTGACCCCTGTTACAAAAGATAAGATAATCATTGTTGACTCTTCCTTCCACCTCACTCTTTTCCAGGTTTCGCTTATTTTCACTTTGTTAGGACTGAATGATAAATTCCCTTATACTACGTTCAAGGCCACACAGGATTAGCCTTAGCTGTGAAATGAAATAAACATGGTGTTCCACATGAGTTCTTTTCATCACAGCTTTTTCACTCCAGTTCTTTATTATTTTTCATCTCTTGTTCAATTGGGTTACTTTCCAGTTTTGTTTAGTTTGGTTTAGTTTCAAAAAGAGTTCATGAGTGTTAAATTTCCCGAGCTCTTCCATGTCAAAAAATATCTGCCTTTTATCTCTGCGCTTGATGACACCCTAGCTTGGTATAATATTTTTGAATCACATTGTTTCTCTCAGAAGTGTGTGGTCATTAATTCATGTCCCTTGGCACTGAAGTTGCCATGGCAAAGCCTTGAAACCACCTGACTGTTTTTCCCCTCTAGTGACTGACGTGCCTTTTTCTGCCCAAATGTCTAATGTTTTTCTTTATTCTTAACATTTAATAATTTAACCAGGAAATTTCCCAATTTAGGCCGTTCTGTACCAATTTTCCTTGACATAAGCTGTCCTCTTTTTTATTCAAGATTACCGTTCTTCTTTTCAGGAAATTTCTTTGAATTCATTTTTTTCTTCTTATACTCTAAGGATGTCAGTTGTCTTTGTGTTGGATAGTTTTATTCTCTCTGTATCTATCTTTACTGTAATTGTTTGTCTTTTCATCCTGCATTGCCTGTGAATATCCCCAGCCATCTCTCCATGACACTTTCAGCTCCATTTTCTTTACTTTACAATATGTAACTTATTACATTTATACCTCATTCTTTTGGTTTTCTATTTTTCTTAGCTCCACAGTGTCATCTCGCATCTTCTTTATTTTATAATTGATCTTAGAGGCATCATTTTCTTAATGAACTCTTCTCTGTAATTAAGTATTCAAAAAGAACTTGCACTTCACCTTTGAGTTTTATTTTCTTCCTGAGGGGTTTTGGTTTTGGTTTTCATTTTGTTTTGCCTTTTTCTTGCTTACTATTTATTTTTGTAGTAGTAGATTTGTATAATTTTGTACTGTTTCTTTTCATTGTGCTCACACTTAAGAGGGAACAGTTTTGTTCGTAGTTTCTGTAAAATGACGTGGATGGACTCTCCTTGATGTCTTTCTCACATTATCTGGAACTATTTTGTCTTCCCCTCATCAAAGAATCAGTTTCAAAGGTAGATGTAGCTTTCGATTTATTTTTTAATTAAAGCATATTATTTTGAATTCTCAGTATTTTGTTGACTACCTTTGCTCGTGGAGAAGAGCTGGTCTTAGAAGTTGTACCAGTCATATCAGAATCTTTCTTTTTGTGGATGCCAAGCCTTATGGTTCAAACAATGTCCTTTTCTCTCTTGCTGCTGATGTATTATTTGCCTTAAGAAATAACCATTTCAAGGCCGGGCGTGGTGGCTCACGCCCGTAATCCCAGCACTTTGGGAGGCCGAGGTGGGTGGATCACGAGGTCAACAGATCGAGACCATCCTGGTCAACATAGTGAAACCCCGTCTCTACTAAAAATACAAAAAATCAGCTGGGCATGGTGGCGCATGCCTGTAATCCCAGCTACTCAGGAGGCTGTGGCAGGAGAATTGCCTGAACCCAGGAGGCGGAGGTTGCGGTGAGCCGAGATCGCGCCATTGCACTCCAGCCTGGGCAGCAAGAGCGAAACTCCGTCTCAAAAAAAAAAAAAGAAAAGAAAAAAGTAACAACCATTTCATCAGTTGGGGAAAGAAGTTTCTGTGATCTTGTTTTGCTTTGGATCTTCACGTGGAGTTGGGTGTTAAAAAGCAAAAGCCAGTGCATTTTTGCAAGGAATTAGTTATGAAAAGAAACAGACCAGATGGTTTTTGATTTCTTTAGCTCCATATACTGAGATATGACTATTATGACAACAGAGGTCGCCCAACCATTGAAAATTACCAAGTTCAACAATTTAATAGTAAGAGGCATTGGAATTTTCATACCACTAGAGGGCAGATCTTGGCCACAATTGCACGTAGTCACAGTAAACAGCTATTGTCAAACGAATTGTACTGGAGCGCCTTTAAACTTTTACAAAAATGTGTGAAAAGGACAAACTCTAGGGAAATGGAGCTCAAATTATCTGGCAGTCCGGGGCTACTCGTCTGTAAGAAGGGTCCCATGATTCTCTATTTTGCTGTCTGTATCCATCTCCCGTGAGGTGTTCACTTTTGCCAATCCCCACAAGCCAACCATGCTGGAAAATTGATAAAGCATACCCAGATCCTCCATTTGCTGTGCTATTTTCCAGCTGGCGTGTAGAAATTTGAAACAACTTGCCCAGAGCTACAGCTGCTCATTTCATAAATGGTGAAGACCTGAAATGGAGCCCACCTTGCTGGCTTTTGTGCCTTCTGAATACCTCTCCCGGACAGTAAGCTCCTGTCACTGATACTTCACTTCTAGCATTGAAGCCACAAGAGAAGCAATGCCAGCAAGAGATGAATTAAAGTCCTCCCTTTAGCCCTCACTGTTGGTAGCTCCCTATGGCACTCTGATTCATTACTCTGGAGAAACTTTTGTGACCCAAAGATAAGCCTCCTTACTACAAAGATAATAGAAATCTGCTTTTGCTGCCAAGGATGTTCCATTTGTCTCTCAGACTGGGTCTTGCTGCTGAAGGTAACATTAGCCAGCATAAACTTTCAGCTTGCTTCTTACCAAATTCCTTCTTACATCACTCATCATCCTTCACCAGGGAATTCGAGTCTTATTTTTCTCTCCTGGACTACTTTCCTAGCCTTACGTCTTTGGTGAGACATTACATCACATACATGTAAGACAGATGCCTGCATTTCCCCCTACTGAGGGAAGCTCTGAACCCACGATGTCAGTAAAACCCTGCTAAAGGTTTCAGATAGAGAAATAAGTTATGTACTCTGTCAGTAACACAAATTGGGAGTATCATTAATATGACTGCCCTTACAAGAAGAAACATTTTATTTTCTTTATGTAGATTTAGTTTGGCTATCCCAGAAAAATCACTATTTTCTCTTGGGAAATATGTTGGCTTAAATACTATTAGATCTTCCAGAGAACTGACCCCTCCCAAAAGGCAGCAGGCAGGTCTGATGCTTGGTTTCAGCTGAGCTGTAAACATGATCTGCAGCTGGTGGGATTTAGTTCACTGTGGATTAAAGTGTTCAGTGTTCCCCAGTCAAATAAACATATGTAGAGAACTGTACTTTCTAGTGACCTTGTCTGGAGCCCAGAATAGTGGAAAGGAAATATTTTTATTGTGATTTATTCTATCACAGAAATAAATTGGGCATTAAATTAGGGAAAGGGGTAGGTTTGCTTGCTAATTTCTCTGGGGCTGAAGGGGGTAAAAGTTTGGACTCAATGGGCAAAAAAGAAAATAAAGTTCTTATAGGGGAGGTGAGCCAGCCCTTGAAAGGAAGGGAGGAGGAAAAACTCTCAGACCTATGGATCATAGGAGTGGTACTATCTCATATAAGTTTAAAATTTTCCTTTTCCATGCATTATTATCAATATTTCAGTAGACATCAGACCTCACAGCTTAGCATATGCTGGGTTAAGGAGAATTAGGACACGGACTCTGTTCTTCTAGCATGCCAAGACAGGGGCCATATCCCTTGGGCCGTGTTCTTTGGGAACATCTTGCAAAAAGATCCTAAGGAACAGTCGTGAGAGGTGACCAGCAGAGGGGCCCAGAGCAGTGGTTCAGAGTAAGAGACAGCCAGTGATAATCAAGGTGGATTTGTTACTGTGTGGAACTATTTCCTGAGAATTTTCGGGAATAAGAAAGAGGAGAAAATATAGCTATCATACAATAAATGGAAAAAATATTGAATGGGGGCTTAGATAAAATTATCTGGCTATTAAGCAGAAAGCCTCCCTTGAATGCTAAAAAACCTTGAGAAATGATGGGTTATTTTGCCAGAGCTTTTCTCTTTGGTTTTCCATGGCTTAATATCTCCTAAAATAAACTCATGTGAAGAAGATTGGGACCACTGTTATTGAGAATTTCAAAGAAGAAAATTTTTAACTGTATGATTGATTTCTGCCAGGAGAAAAAAAAAAAAAAGCAGAGTGAGTTCCATTGCTAAACAAACATAGTTTTAGTCCTAGAGGGAAATGCAAGATGCTTGCAATTCAAAGAATAAGATTATTAAAACTAGAAGCATATTTGCAGAAAATGAAACCAAGTAGGTAGCACAAGGAACAGCCTATTTAATCTTTTTATGGTTTCTAAAAAGTAATCGGAAAACCTGGTGTCTTAAATGAACTGACTTTAATATTATTAACCTCGAGTTCCAGGTGTATGGAATAAAATACAAATCTCAATATAGATATAACTGGGTGTTGCCATGTAACCCATGTTAAGTAAAGTATTCAAAAGTACTCAATATAAGAATACTGAAAAAATTGATGAATAAATAAGTGATTTGGGGAATAATTGTCAAACCATTTGGGAAAAAAATTATCTAAGAGCCACATTTTATACCATGATACACTAGATTGTTTTTAATCTACTGAAAATGTTTCTTTCTTCCTGTGGTGATAAATTTAATTTCCTTTTGGGAGATAACCTCTTCTGTATATGCAGTGTTGGCTGGGGCTATAAATCAAGGTTCCCTGTCCTTTTCTGGTCACAACGTGGTTGTTGCTCAATTAAGGACAATTGGAGAAAGTCTCAAGGGGCTGTGAACGGAGCAACAACAAGAAAAAACACTCACTGAGCACCTGCTATGCGCCAGGCAGAGAGCCCCGTTCCCATGGAGCTTACATTCTGAGGAGTGGGGGTGGAGGTGGGTTGAGGACAGTGAGTGTGCCTTCATTTTGCTGCGATATATTCTTTACAGGTCTGCCAGAGCTGCCTGATCTTTTCTTCTCAGAGCCAAGCTCTTCAGGTTTTACTTCAATTATACCCACTCTCCCAGTTTTTCCAACAAATATTTTTGCTTAAGTTATCTCAAGTCAACGTATTGCTTGAAAACAAAGATGTATAATACATTTCATATGGCCTCAAGAAGTGATTTTCAAGCTTCAGAGGCAGAAGAATCACCTAGAAGTTGGTTTAAAATACATGTTTTCATGGTCCTCTAGAGCAACTTTGATTAATAAGGTCTGTCAAGGGTAATGGGGATGGGCATTAAAACAAACAAAAAAAATCAGGTAATCTGGTGCAGGTGATGCTCAAACCAGTCTTTGAGAATCACTAGATTAAAGAGTTAATTGATATTTCTTAAGCATAGTAAGACAAGTAGAAAATAAAACTTTTATGAGATGAATACAGGGATGGCAAATTTCTATTGCTTTGAAGTAAATAGAAACAACTACAAAGGAAATTATATTGATAGACTCATGAATAAACATTAAAGCATCTGTAAATTAAAAATTAAAATTAAGGGATAAGAAGCAAGACAGAAAATGTTTTTCATCAAATATGACAGATAGTCTAATATCTATGATAATCTGTGATGAGCTCATTTAAAATTAAACGTAAATGGATAAAAGGTTTATTTTTTATATGAAAGGGAGTGCAAATAGTAGAAACACAGAAGAGACGGTTAGCTCATAAAATAATCAAGAAAATGAAATGTAAAGTAAAATTAATCCTTTTGCACCTGCTAAATTAATGGCAACAAACAATTCAAAGAAATGGCAACACTGTACTAGCTAGGTTAGGCTACAGTTGCCATGCTCAAGCCCTTTTGTAGCAGTTTTATTGGGGTTGAGAAAATTCTCAAAAAGCTTTAATTCCAGAAATAATGAAGGTGGTCTTCTCTATTCTTTTTTTTTTTTTTTTTTGAGACAGAGTCTTGCTCTGTCGCCTAGGCTGGAGCGCAGTGGCACAATCTCACTTCACTGCAACCTCCACCTCCCAGGTTCAAGCGATTCTCCTGCCTCAGCTTCCTAAATAGCTGGGATTACAGGCACGCGCCACTACACTCAGCTAATTTCACACTTTTAGTAAAGATCAGGTTTCCCAATGTTGATCAGGCTGATCTCGAACTCCTGACCTCATTATCTATCCGCCTCAGCCTCCCAAAGTGTTAGGATTACAGGCGTGAGCCACTGTGCCCAGCCTTCTCTATTCTTAAGGCTTATGAATCCTGGAAGTCAAGACTTTTATTTCAGCACTTATTAATGTAAAGGGTTAGGTTCCAATTTATCCAAAACTTCAGGAACCCATCAGCCCCTCAGATCTAAGGCCAGCTGTCGCTTAGAGGACTGAGGGTCCATGTTCAACACCTCTCTATGCTGGGGCTGTCAGATTTAGCTAATTATCATCATCATCATCATCATCATCATCATCAAACACATTTAAATGTTTTGCAAGGCACACTTATAATAAAAACTCACTATTTATCTGAAATTCAAATTTAACTGGGTACCCTGTATTTCATCTGACACCCTTACCCCAAGCACATATATCTCAGCCTCTTTCTAGGAAGCTTGCATAAAGACACCCATTGAATTGTTCATGAAAACCTCCAGCTTCAGGCATTAGTGGTGCAAAAGCTTAGATCCTTGAGTTCTTAGCACCACAGGAAAGGGGAATGGCATTTTTCAGGCTTTCCAATTTGCTAACTAAAGCAGAAACTCTGAATTCAGAATCTACAGTGACTCTCAGCTGTGGCCCTTGATCCTTGATCTTAAGGTTGGATTCTGTTGCCAGCAGCCACTCCAGGAGTAGGAGGAGTCTTCAACAGCCAAAGACCAGCCCAGAGAAAGAACCAATTAATTTATCTGAACTTCGGTTTCCCTTTGTGCACAGAGCATGGGTAATATGACCTCTCCTGGGTAAAAATAAGACTATATAATTTCATTCATTTGTATCTACAAAAACAAAACAAACAAAATTTAAAAAAATCAGAGGGACAAATGAGGAACAAATCAAAATGGCTCCTGTTATGGGTTAAGCGTGGGAATGGGGTTAGACAGGGACAAAGGAAAGATACTTTTCAGTATATAGCTGTTTGTGTCATTTCTATTTAGAAGCCACTCTGGCAGTGCTCTTGTGAGGATGACATGAGGTGATGCATGCCCAGCACCCTGCACATTCTGGACTACTTGCAAAATGCTGGTACTTCCACTGCAGCACCTTGAGCCTCCCACAGGGATCTGCTCCTTATCTGCATCTACTAGTCTATGTACTGAGAAATGACAAGTCATCACCTGTGTCCTTAGGAAGCTGCTCTAATATTTTTTCACATGAGGACTGTGGTGACTCTTCCTTCCTGTGCTTTCTGTACTCTTTCCTTCCTATCTTCTTCCAGCCATGCCAAGTTCAATTTGGAGCTTGGTAACTTAGCACCAACTCACTACTGCCCACCTTTTTTTCTTTCCACTAGTTAAATGCTACCTTGTTTTCTACAGCAGACCAGGATCTTACTGTCTTAGATCAAGCAACTCTAAGACTATCAGGTGTCAAGAATTGTGCTAAGGAAAGGAGCTGGCTCTGAGCAGATGTGATCATGTAGGAAAACAGTGAAGTGAGGAAATGTAAGAGGAATTTGATTAACACCAGTAATTTAGAGATTCATTTGTCCTTACTGTCTCCCTGAAACCTCCCAGGCTGACTTCATTGAGTTTCAGGGAGTATCTCTCTAGATTAAAATTTATATGTGATGAGACTCACTTGCTAGAAATGAAGCACAAGAAGAAAGGAAGAATGACAGAAAAAAGTTGTATTTCAGATTTTGTGAAATGGCCAGAAAATGGAAGAGGTAACCAGAGACAAAAACTGAGGGACTTGGGCAGTAGATGAGGAAACTGTTCAGCGTGAGTAGCCCATCCTTAGTTTTGAGATGGGAACACCTAATTTCACTGTGCCTTTAGCGCTTTCCTAATGTGTGACGCAAGGCAAGGTCTTTCTGGGTTAAAAGCATGAGGACACCAAGAAAGTCCTGGATGTCCTTGGAAAATCATGCAGCCTCAATGAGTCTATTTCATCAACTGCAAATTGCACATAGCAAGAGCTACTCCTAAGAGTTCAATGAGATCATGAGGTAGTGATTTGGACTCTAGATTCAGAATGCCTGGATTAAAATTTCAGCTCTGCCCCTTATTCATCTGTGTGATCTGGGAGCAAGATATT